AAACAAAAGTTGTTGGGTTGAAGAATATGTTGGGTTTTTAATTATTATAAGTAATCGCATGCTTTGAGGGAAATTAGTGATTAAATGTCCCCGCAAACCGAGGAAGGTTTACTTTTACTAAACCTCCCGAGGTTTGCGGGGTCATTTAATCACTAATTTCCCTCAAAGCATGCGTTTAGTTTGTAAGTACATGGTAGCCGAGCGAATCGCGCGTGGTGTGTTGGTCTGATTTGAATGCTGTTTGATTGTCTTATGATTGTGGGATGAACACTTTTCATATATACGTAAGCTGAGAAACACATCTCCGTGTTCATTCTTTTCAGGGATTGCGGAATAAAAACTGGCAAATTGATTGTCGGAATGTGTACGGGACGGTGTCGTCAGATACTGTCCGATGATTTTCGATGAGGTACAGCTCTCCAATGAGAGGTATTAAATGAGGTACGCTTTTGTCTTCTAAATTTCCCTCATCAAGCATGCAGGGGAAAATTAGAAGACAAAGAAATCTTTTGTTTTCAAATAAATTTCCCCATTTCCCAAGGAAATTTAGAAGACAAAAGCGTATGCATGGGTAATGAGGGAAATACGTGATTAAACGTCCCTGTTGAAACAAAAGAAACCCAGTGCTACCGTGTGTTTGCTGTACAAAATTTCAGACAAGTTGCTTTAGTTTAAGCCTTTAACTATTCATTTTCCACTAAAATATCAGCCTTTCGCATGCTTTAACCTTTACCTAAATTGCATATCCTGACATATGCAAATTAGGCAAAGCATTAATTGCGCATGCAAAAGCTGATTTTTCAGAAAAAATGCAAGTTTGCGTATAAATAGTTAACGGGCTTAAAACTGAAGCAAATTGTCTGAAATTTCGTGCAGCAATTAAATGTCCAGCCAGCTGTTGTTGCGTGGCACTAAACAGTCCTCTACCATTCCAAATAGCCAGCATTCTCTCTCCGAATCATTGTTTCGTTGGTTCACTCCGTAGGTGACATTCATTTTTTGTTGAACTCCTTTGTCCACTCTCGTCTTTCTGTAGTGTGCACAGGGCTTTCAGCGTTGCCTTCATCCCCTTCTGTGCAGTTAGTTTGTATATTTGCAGCTTTTTGTATATGTTGCCTTAAGCCCATTCTGTGCAGTTTGTTTGTATATTATTTAATTATTATTATTATTATTAATTTTATTATTATTATTATTATTATTGTGAGGCTGATTGTGATGGAGTGCTGCCTTTGACTGACGACGTGATGAGACAGCTTCAGGAGAAACACCCTGAGGCACAAGAGGCCAAACTTGGCTCGTTACTCTTCGGGCCATTTGAGGAAGTGCACGATTCGTTATATCAGCAGATCGATGGCGAAATGATACGCGAGACAGCATTGCGAACCAAAGGCTCCGGCGGCCCTTCAGGAGTGGATGCAAATGGATTCAAGCGTATTTTCGCATGTAAATCGTTTAAGAAATCAGGCGTAAACTTGTGTGAGGCAGTAGCAACAATGACCCGGCGGCTATGTACGGAATACATTGACCCGAGAACTATCGAGCCTATATTAGCCAACAGGCTTATACATCTTGACAAAGGCGAGGGCGCGGTTCATCCAATTGGCGTCGGGGAAGTTATCAGGAGGATTGTCGGGAAATGTGTTATGAAAGTGATTAAACCCGACCTGATTAATGCCAGTTGATCGCTACAGGTGTGAGCAGGTCTTAAGAGCGGAAGTCAGGCAGCCGTTCACGCGATGCACTCCATATTTGAAGCAGACGAGACAGATGCCGTACTTCTGATTGATGCCTCAAACGCATTCAACGCACTCAATCGAGCGGCTGCACTCCACAACATAACAGTTCTGTATCCATCTATGTCAACATACGCAATTAACACCTATCGCGAACCAGCTAGACTATTTATATCTGGTGGAGGAGAGTTCAAGTCCACCGAGGGTACCCCACAAAGGGATTCCCTGGCCATGGGGTGGTATGCCATCAGTCTTCAACCCCTGATCACCGGATTGAATGTGTCAAGCAACGTTAAGCAATGTTGGTTTGCTGACGACGCGAGTGGCGCGGGATTTCTGGAAGATATCAAGCGATGGTGGGAACACCTGAATGAAGCTGGCCCTAATTTGGGATACTTTCCAAATGCTAAGAAATGCTCGCTGATCACAAAGCCTGGAAAAGAAGAAAGTGCTCATGCTATTTTTGATGGGATAGCGATCAATATCTCTGCCCAGGGGCAAAAGCATTTGGGCGCAGCCTTGGTTTCTATGGCTTTCCTGGAAGAATACGTCAACGGCAAGGTAGAGGACTGGGTTAGCCAAGTCGTCAAGCTAGCTGAATTCGCAGCGTCACACCCACAAGCCTGCTATGCCGCCTTCACCTTTGGCCTCCGCCATTGATGGACGTATTTTCTTAGAACACTTCCAGATATAGAAGATTTACTGGGGCCCTTGGGGCGTGCTATTGCTGATGTCCTGATACCATCAATTACGGATCATCACTGTACAAAGTATACCCGGCGAGAAATATGGGCGGCATTTCGTAAAAAAATCTTACTACGCGCAGTACGCGTAGTAGAACGGGATTTCATTAATTATTAGTATTTCTTGTTTCTATTATCCCCAACGCCTGCACGCCTGCCTTGACACATGTTCTTCGTACTCGGTAAACTGAATGCTTGCCAAATTTTGTACTCAACAGACATATAGTGTTCATGATTTCTTCTTGGCAGGTATCATGTCTGTCATACCCCACTTGAGTTGTCATCTGTTGCGGTCTATTTCGGTCGACTTAACTGTCTGTGTTTGCACAGTTGTGCTGTGTGTTTATTGTCAGTGTGTTCTTTCAATTATAAACATTCCACATTTATCATTTCATCAACTATATTAAATTAAGTTCTTATAAATCCCACTTGTGTTGGCGCCCCAGGTTTATCTAATTATCTTGTTTGTTTGTTTATCCTGACTGGCAAGTGACGCATGCGGGTAATACTTGCATTTTTTCATTTTAGGCAGTAATTTTTAATTAAGCAGTAATTATGGCGTGGTAGCAATGTAGCATAATACATAACATTTCAACAGAGACATTTTTATATAATTTTGAACTACCTCCATGCATGTTATAAGAACGAAATGCAATATTATTCATACTTAAAATAAAAGTTCTAGTGTTTCTTGACTATAAATCTAAGACAGTGGCGTAGTAAAGTAGAAATGTAGTAAGGTATAGTAGCCAGAGTAAGGTAGTCGGGTCGTAGTAATTTAGTAGCGTTAGTAAGTGTTTCAGGTGGTAAGGTTATTAAAATTAATTAAGGTAGTAGCATAGTAAGCGTATTAAGGTAGTAGCATAGTAAGCGTAGTAGCATAGTAAGCATAGTAAGCGTAGTAAGCGTAGTAGCATAGTAAACGTAGTAGCATAGTAAGCATAGTAAGCGTAGTAAGCGTAGTAGCATAGTAGCATAATAAGCGTAGTAGCGTAGTAAGCGTAGTAGCATAGTAAGCGTAGTAGCGTAGTAAACGTAGTAGCATAGTAAGCGTAGTAGCATAGTAAGCGTATAGTAGCGTAGTAA